AAAACTGTCTTCCTGGATGTTTGTCAAGTGCATGTGCAGTGCTATAGAACCAAGAATCAGTAATGTTCTGCTAGAGCTACTTCTCAGGCAAACTCTGACGATACAAACAACTTCAAAAGGACAATGCTATCACGTTTAGCCTTACATTGATTATTTAGCTGCCTGAAGCCTTAAAAAGCAATACTAATTGGCTGAGTCAGGCTTGCCAAAAGCAGTTCTATTCTAGCCTTACCCTGCAGTGGAATGAGGGAAATCAGTCAGGTTACTGGGACATAGCTGTCTTGATCTGAAATGCACAAAGGGCCATATGGTCCAGTAGCGCCAGACCACTTCGCCAGGGACATGGAACTTTACACTGCATAAAAATAGCCTTCCACTGATGCACACGTCAACTGCACATCATAGTTGCAGCACATCTAACGCATATACTGAAAGATCTACTGGATGCTGGTAGCAGGACGGTAAGGCTCTTGGGTCAGACTTTAAGATGCCTCTGTGATATTAGCACAAGAAATGTTGAATGTTCCTGCCTGCAAGTCTTTGCCACCTTTGGCTGCATTTGCTGGTAATGACAGGCTCAAATTCAGGAATTAGAAGGGAAAAGAAAAGGAAAGACTCCTTTATAAATATCCTATACAGTTTCAGGACATGCAGGGAATTTTGCACCCGCAGAGTCAGCAGGTTACAGCAAAATGTGTAACCCTAAAAAGTACTTAAAGCAAGGAAGATCTTCTCACCATGAATATGAAAAGAGACTCATTATTTTCTAAAGTACCAAGTGTTTTTCCCTCTCAAAGTTTACTGTTCTTTCCCATTCTGTCCTAGGCTGTGCAGAGAAGAAGGTGCTGCTGTTGGCTTCTACTGGAATGAAACAAGACAGCAAATGACCCACCAGAATCCCTCCGATAGGATTCCTGGTAAGCACACACCTGCCTCACTGGAACTAGGGACACGTCCCAATAACGCTGTCGGTGCAACATTCTGGTCCCAGCTGATGTGTAAAAGCTAAAATCTCCATTTTCCGTATGACACGAGATATTTACTAACCAGACGTAACTACAATGTTTCTGATTTAGAGTCATTGACAAGTGAGAGCTGGTGTCAGCTGGCATGCCCCTCCTACAGTGTAACGCCTCCCTCATTTGAAGCAGTCTTCCCACCGTGTCACAAGACTGCTAAATGGGATTCCTCCTCAAAAAAGGTTCTCTTCAAATATTTGTTTGGGGCAAACCTGGAAAAGTACAGAGCACTTGCAGCTTGCAACGATTTCCAAAGCAGTGTTGGACCTCAGGCTTGTGGAACCTTCTCTTTAAAAACAAACCAAAGGAAAGAAAAAAAAAGTAAATAACTCTCAGTACATTGTGGACCTCCTAATTAGTTTAACCAGTAAATTTCTGTTTCCCTTGAGATGCATCATAACGTGGATTTAATGAATTCCTCCTTCTCCCTATATCCCTAGCTGTTTTAAATACTACACATTATGGATGAACTTCTGTTTATATGTGCAATCTTTTAGCTGTAAAATAAAGATCACTAATACAGCACTTGAAGCACACTAGGAAGCCTGCATTCCATCAGTGTTTAAAAGGGATATAACGTGCCAGCTGGTCGTTTGCTCTCAGTGGCAGTGACGTATAGGATGGAAATGAATTGAGAGAGGACAGAATCATCCATCCTCTGGTCTAAGTTCCTCCTTTCCCAGCATCATCATACCTCCTTTGCATATCATTAACAAGAAACAGATGGTGCCATCCATCCCTTTTTATGAGGTGGTGAAATAAACTATTCAGCCTTGCATTAGCGTTTTTAGCACGGGCAAGGGATCTTGAACAAACCTAAAAAACATAGAAAGACAATATCTATAGCTAAGGCCACACCCTAACACTGCATTTAAACAATCAATAATGTATTTCAGGGAGACAGAGGGTTTTTGTTTTGTTTTGCTTTGTTAAAATGGAAACCAATAGATCTGCTGCCCCCAGTTTCCACAGCTCAAGCTGTCTGCATACAGCAATTCAGTTTCATACTACAAAGAAGTAGCTTAACTTGTTTAATGATCGTTTCAAAGTGAATCTGGATGAGCCAGGAGGTCAGGCAGGGCCTCTAGAGCGCACCAGAATTTTCTGCCTGATATGGATAAGCTGCACATAAATAGCCATGATTAGAAGAAAAATTGCTTGCCAGGAATAATCGCACACTTATATCTGAGATTAGTACAGCTCCCTCTTCCCCTCTCATTGTAAACAAGTGACATTGGTAATAAAATGCAATGTAATAATAAAAACAGGTTTCTAATGGCCTGTGTTATAGCAAGGACAGTTACTAGCTTTATCATGCTTGCTAAACCTGATGTATTATCTTCTACATAGAAGAGAGACTAAAATATTTGCTGTAAGATAAATTTCCAGTTTTACATTCTGAAAACATAACTGCCTTAAGATTTGCTGCCCTTACTTCCCTTTTGTCTGCTCGTCTTGCTTTCGTTAATCATGTTTCTTCTTCCCTTTCATTTAATCTGTCCTGCCTCCGCTTGTGCCAAGTAGTAATTTGTTCGCCAGATAACAAAGTCAGTCCTCAACAGAGAGAGCTCCATCTAAATAATCCTAGTTCCCAACATGGAGTTGGGAAACAACTCCAGCCTCGGTAAAGGTCAGCTTTGAAAGGAAAAATACCCCATCCTGAACTCTGTTCACAAAAACCTTGGCTGCACTAGGAACATCAGCCCTCATAACTCTGCTACAAAAGCCTCCTTGTTAGGGGTGGCACATACTAACAGGAAAGCGCTTTTATCATTACGGGCAGATCTCTGCTCAAACTGAGCCAACAAACAAGCACAGCTCAACAGTAAGGTGTGTGCACAAAAATCAAGGGTTTGGGGTTTGTTGTAGTGGAGCAACAAAAATTTGCTGTTACTGCCTTGGACTCAAAGTTGCAAAATCCACCTGGGAGGGAGCAAGAAGCTTTTCCTGGGAAGGCCCAATGCCGTAGGGGCTAACTTCCAATTTCTGTAAAAAGGCTTTCGTTCTGGAAAGTAAAAGCAATACTTATCGCAGAAAAAGTAACTTTCTCAAATGATAAACATAAGACAAACCAATGCAACTCAGCTCTCCAAAACTGCTGACAGACACGTGCTTACTATTCACAGTTGACTGAAAGCAAAGTTGAAAGGAAAGCAAACTCAGCTAAGGACTTCAACTTGTCTCACTGCTGTTGCTCAGAATCAAGCAGGCAGTAACTGCTCTGCATTTGCGCTGCGTGAATTGCCTTTTGGTACACTTGCCAGTAGACGCTTTGTTAGAGCTTGTGTAACTATATTTCTGTTGGGCTAATAGATTAACATAACTGGAGCCACTGGGACAACCAGCTTTCCAAGGATGTCCAGTCATGCTAAGAAAATTCTCTTCTGTTCAAAACAAAGCAAAAGCAAACACATGCACACTTCAAAGGACAAAAACCAAACAATAAAAAGACACTAGCAAAGCAAAATACAGCACTGCAGGAGTGATAAGAAGGGGTGAGAGAATCCAGAGCACACGACCAAATTCATTCTTGTTCCTGAATACACTACAGGAAGACAATCAGATCCAGTGGTAATGAATGTGGTGAAAGAACCTCAATAGAGTGGAAAGATCTTATAAAGTAATGAATACATCTGGATCTCTAGTACTGATTGATGGCTGCAGAAGATTTGAAGATGTTATGTTCACTCTGCCTGTTCCCACCTCTGCATGCCATTTTTCCTAGTCCAGTATTTTCCATAAAGTCTACTACTTCTCAAATCAATGGAGAACCATTTCAGAAAAGAATTTCAGAATGTGTTGGGTTCAAGTTTAATTCTCCAGATCAGAAGAACAGCAGGCTCTTGAGGTAATAACTGAGGATTTGACTCATGTGTTCCCCTAGATCTTGACCTTAAAATTCTAGGAAGAAAATTCAGTTAAACTGGAGGAAAAATTAACTCTCTCTCTCCCTGCTCTTACGTTCCACAACCAAGTTGCCTAGGAGCTACAGAGCAAGGCGCTTAAAAATGGTCACTCTGACTTGTGACTGCTCAGAAAAAAACAGCAGCTCGAATTACTGCTACCAATTTAGAAATAGATGGGAGAGGAGAATGTGTGTCCATATCTCAGCGATTCCAGTCCACAGACTAATATTCTGGGATAAATCTATTTTCACTGGCAGTGTAAGCCAGCAAACTAAGCTGGGAAGTGAGGCACAGCGTACATTCAGTTCTAAAGGCTCTACTCTGCTCTGGCACAGAAGCAGGACAATTGGGAGCAGCAGCTTAAACCACTGTAGCAAAATTCACTGGGACTCATCTGTCACTGTCCTCACTCTCCGACTGTGAAATTGCCTATCCAAGCCTATAGCTTATTTTCACTTCTTTTCCCTTGCCGCCCCTCCTAAAATGTTACTAATGCAGCTTGTCAGATTTTCTTCAGCTTTATAGCAGGAGCTAAAGGCATTGTGCTGATAAAGTGAAAGGAGGAAGAAATACTCTTCAGTATAATACAAGACATAAGTGGTGCTCTACAGTTGCATTTACTTTTTTGTTTTTGGTGGTGACTGTTTTCTTTAAGATAGCTAAGAAAGAAAATAAACACATTAGAGAAATCTAATACTGTACAAAAAGGAAGTACCATTCAGCAAAAATCCAAATAAAAGCTAATTGAGCATAAAAATTATTTTAAGGAATCGATACTGAAGCATCGAGTCCTGTTAGCATTCAAATCAAGCAGCAAGACTGCTGGTAGCCTGACTAGTAAGAATTTAGCCCTCAACACAATCACCAGTACAATGCAATGTCTGCGATGTACTTCCAAAGCCCATAATGTGCTATGGAAAGCATGCAACTGAATGACATGCCTGTCCATGCACAGGTTTCATATCAGTTTTCTGCAAGTCTGTACATACCATTCCAGGAACTTCTACTCGCACAGAATTCCAACTTTGCAGTTCTGTGCAGCAGAAAACATCAATAGTTGTGCTTAGTCACTCACCCATAACGTGTAGGACCCCCTGCGACTCCCTGGAAAAGTCAGCATACTCTGATCAGAGACAGCAACAGATGCCAGGCCACTGCTCCTGGATGGTGGCCATTCAAAGTCAGCCTCAGTCTGCTCAGTTTTGCTTTTCTGCTTCTTTATAATCTGTGAGATTGGGAAAAAAATGGTACTTGGAAAATATTGTCTGAGCCATATGGAGCAAACTATATTAACTCTGTCTCAAGACAAACTGCCTGGGAAGTACATTTGAGTTTCCCTTTGCTTCTGCTTCACTTCATGCAAGGATGATTCTGACAACCTGCAGGCATTTCTTCTCATCTGAAGTCACACTGCTTGCAAATACACAAGCACTGATACAATAAATCATAATAAACGCCTGTAGAAACATCACAGCTGAATTAAATAAACATGGAAACCTGCTCCTACCAATAACATTTTAAACATTAGCCGTATCTAAGCGTCAAGAATTTTCTCAGATAAGTATGTTTGCAAAGAAACACAGAATACTAGATATGAGGGGAATTTCAAAGGCTCCCACGGCATCTAGACACATTCCCATTGAAAACAAAGAGGTCTTAGGCATCTAGGCACTATTTTTGCCTTTGAAATTCTACACTGTCTTCAGAGAGAGAAGATCGTATAGACTACTTATCATCCTGTATTAACAGATTGTTTCTGGCCACACATCATTTCCACAACTTTTCTGATTCCAATTTAAAACAGCTACAGAATATTATTCTACGTCATAAAAGACCTCACTGTTAGGCAGCTTTTGATAAAAGTAGTAGCAATTCAAGCTCAGCTGAGATGGGCTCTGGACTATCACAGAAGAATTAATCTTCTAACATCCCTGTTAAAAACAAGGCAGATTATATCCCATTGAGCTGCTACTCTTCTGACTTTTCTTGATGTCCTTATAAGCAACATATTCTTTTCCTGGTGTGATGTCCACACATTGTTAAATATGTTAACACAGATGTGGTAATTTGCTTAATTCACATACAAGGAGACAGACCAAGTAGAATGGTTACCTCACCGATCACCAGGGCTCAGCAGCACTCTGTTCCTGCTCATCTTGCCTGGCTCCTGACTGTCTAGATAAACTCAAGGGGTTTTCATTCCCACCTGCCCTCTATTTCTGCACTGTGTCAGTGCCAACTGCCAGCTTTGCAGGAAGAAGAAAGAACTTTCCAGAAAAGGCCAAATAAATCAGACACACAAAGAGTTTTGGGAACTTTTGGGTATCTCTCATAGCATCACTGTCAGAACCATATTTTAATGATCAATGTTTTATTTGTATTTGTTGTAGATGCCAGGGTTGGTAGAGCTCGTATGGTCAAGAGCCATGCTCCTTTACACTAGAAACTTTGTGCCCTTGGGGAGAGAAGTAGAGACACAAAAGTCTAGTGAGCAGGGGCCTTCTCTTCCCAGCAAGTGCCTCATGGACCTGAGGGAGTGGTATCTCAGCTCTGCGGGTGGAGGCCATCAATTTAGGCACTGTATTAGGCTCATTTATAGACTGATCTCTCTGTGAGATATAATTGATCAGGCCTAGACTATGATAGTTAAAAGTTGCAGCCTATCGTTTACTTTGTGTTTCCTACACCGGTGTCATTCTCTGCTAGCAGAGTTAAAGCTCACCACACTATAGGACTATGTTTTGGCCATTAAAACAAGCCATGGTGAAGACATAGAGCGTACCTTCTGCACGATGGTTGTGGCCAGCTCTTCTATAAGGTCCTCCTTGTGTTCTTGCAAATAACAAGCCTCGTTCTGCTTGTCCTGCACGAAAATGGACATCTATAGATGCTAAAATCACATTAAAACAGCCTTTCCACAGAAAGAGTGTAGATAAGGAAATGGGTAATACGTCCTATCGGCACTGTAGGTAGAAATTACAGATACTTGCATTGCATGTCACCTTCTGAAATGCAACATGCATCTTGAACGCAGTTCAAAAAACCCACACCACACCTGATAAAATCACTTTTAGTGATGTATGAAGATAATCATTACTTCTTTATGTTTTCTTTTATATTTACTTGTCTTTCTACCAATACTCCAATTAGAAGAAAGAGAACGGTCTTATATAAATTAACAAAATGTTTTAGAAAATGTTACCAGGCTGTCACTGTAGGTCTCTGCCTTAGAAATAGCTTCTTCCACTGCTTCCTCTGCAACACGTAAGGCCACAGCAAGGGTATCCATCATGCTGTGTCCTAAGTGAAGGATAAAACGAAATCACCGGGTTCATTATATACTTATATCTTGCAACATGAGCTGCAAAGTTCAGACCCATATTCTGAACATACTTTCAGATCTCAGTAGTAAGACTTTGGTATAGGCTGCTGCAGAGATTCATCCCAGACCCAGATCCAGGCTGCTCATGAGAAAGTTTAGTTCCTTAACCGAAAATTACACAAAATAATATAAACATCTTAACATAGAGAGGGGAATTTGTCTCAATTTCTGTTTTAAGCCTAATTGAAAAAGATGAATAACACTTGTGATATAAACATTTTAAATTTAAAGAGTATATAATAAACTATGGTATTTCTATGCTGCTTATTTTGGAATCCAGTAAAATAGTTAGGAGGCAACCATAAGAAGAAAATTTGTAAAATTCCTATAAACACCAACAGGATCTAAGAAAAAGAATGAAAAAGAATACATTTATGAGCATAATAGAGGAAGCAGGAAAGAAGAAACAAACACTGAACACACGTAGTGTTAAGAAAACCATGGTAAAATAAATGTGTATTAGCTGGAATACTGAAACAAGAGATATCAGCCTGGAATATGTGAATACAAAGGACTTTCTTGTATCTTGCTAAAAGATTGTCGGGTCTGTGAACAAGACTTATCAGCACTCTAGGCTATTTGGCCAGTAACTCAATCTACAGGAACTGGGTTTTAATCAAATGAGTTTTTAGCAGCGTACCTTCGGTCTGTCTGTAGAACGTAGAGTCACTGCCACAAATGCTTCCTTCATTTTCTAAGCTTCCTTCAAATAAATCTCCTTCTGCTCAAAAAAAGTACAGCACATTAGTATGAGAAGTACCTGTTAACAGCAGAGGTATTATTAGATTAGAATATTCTCGCAAGATACGATGGTACTACACAAAAAGAGGGATAACTGGAAAATTCCTACTAGCTTTTGTATAAAACATGATTGCAGCAGCTTTTGTACAAAACACGTTTGCCTTTATACAAAAGACGTCATATTCATTTTGGATGGAAAAAATTATTTGTACAGCAAAAGAGAAAGAGAGGAAGAAGCTACTAAAATATGAAATGTACATGGTGAGCGTTAAGTACAGGGAACTTGCTTTTAATGTGACATTTGAGGTTGAAATAGATTGTATATTTTAAAGAGCAATGCTGCATAAATAAGCCAAAATCCAGACATGTATACTAGTATTTATCTTCAAATGGAACAAAAGGTTTTTCCAACAGTCACACAGAGAGTAGAAAGTCAGCAGTGACATTTAGACTCAGAGACCTTCCTTGGAAAGGGATTATAGACAGTGCATACGCTACTCTTGTCATACATACTTGTCATTGCATTGTTCACAGTTCCATTTTATATATGAGGTCAGCGCAACTATGACTTAAAGATAACACATAATATCAAAGTTCTACAGGATCTATCATCTTAGTTTTTAATTCCATTGTCCTACTTCTGTCTTCACTGAAATTAGCATTCACACATTAATATATATTTGTTCTCAACTTTTCAGGAAACTATTAATTTGATACAGAGAAAGCAAAAAGACTAACAAATCAGAATTTAATGCAGAGCTCACCTCTTTTACCTACAAGCTTTCAGGCCAGTATTCAAAAGAACACTTAAAATTTTCACCCAGGATTACACAGTCTGTTTATCATCCTATGTAACTTCTGAAAACGACAAGCTAAAGACTACAGAAAAATTAAGTCTCTGTACAGATTTCAAAAGAATTACCTCAAGAAGGTATCTGGTCCAATAATGTCAATAAAATCTCATGCTCAAAGATTAAGCTTATTGTACTTTTAGTAATCTAAGTTACCAACACGATACAAAATACTACTTCTTTTAACCTCTTTTACATCTCCAATTACTATTCTCGCGGACAATGCATCATAATACCATAGCTAAGGAAGAAATATGTTTCTTTATTTAAAAAAGTGCCATCAATATTAAATCAATATCTTTTAACCATTTACAAACATCAGCACAAAAATAGGCGGTGGCCAGTTTTGGGATCCTTAAGCAATGAAAACCCTAAAGGAGGACAATCTAAATTTTGATAAACTTTGACCTACAGAACGTATCCCACATTAACCAAATTTTGCTTCAAATGTCATGGAAATGCTTTGCTCGGAGGAAAAATGTTGAATGCAAATTCTTTTCTCATTCATTAACTACTCAGAACAGTGGCGAATTTTGGGATGCAGAACACAGTAAAAACTGGAATTTACTTTATGGATTGAAAATCACAATTCTCCAGAATCAGTGGCATAATTAAGATTAAACATTCTTTGAACTGTTAAAACAGCTGTCTAGGCACTTCAGCTCTTTTTTCTCTCCACTACGGTATTTCTGAAAAAAATATAACTTAAAAAAAAAAAACTCTTGAAATAATCTCAGAATTTTCGTTGTCTCATCTCGTGTGTTAAAGTGGAAAAATTAATAAGACAACAAATCAGTTGTACTTACCTACTATATCAGGACAAGCTCCACTTTCCCGTCTATGCTTCCTGTACAGGTTCTTCAGGACTTTGGCACTCCCAAAACACTTAAAGCGGCTCTTCACATTATTATAGTACCAATCCAGAGATTGGGTCCTTAGAAGCCTGAAGAGGAAAATAAATGATATTTTGGAATGATTATGCAACAAATAAAACCAAACAGTTTGCCACACGTTTATTCAAAAAAGGTCCCCAAAACACATAGGCCTCAGAGCATAAATACATTTTTTTACAGTTTTTGTCTTACATATTTCTGGTGTACTGGGGCAAAATGTGAAAGGTAACTAATGAGCAAATAGCTACTTTGCACTACTCAAGGTTTTGTTTTGTTTTTGCTACTATCAAAATAGGTGTTCTCCCTTTTATGTTATAATGACATCACTGTAACTTTGGAAAGATATAAACAAGCCTTTGGAACAGCGCATGAAAGTTTTAAAAATAAAGTTTATTTACACAGATTAATGGATAATAGAGGAACATTAGCCCATTAATACACTTCGGAAATAATTTTTTTCACAAAATATCACTGCTTTTATTTGGGGAAAACAATAGACTAGACAAAGTCTAAATAGAAGACTTAGAAGCAGAATAAGCAAAGAACAACGGGTAGACGACTTTTTTGTGGGGAAGTACTCAAAACTGCAGTTTGGCCCCTTCTTTCAATACTAAGCATCATTTGCATCAGTAATTCATTCTAATGAATGTGTCTTCAATGCTCATACACTTTTTGCAAGCCATGAGATACTGCGAAGGTCTGTATTCTTTTCCATTTGGCACGGGGCTCTTGCTTCACCTCTGTTACTTTAGTAACTGGCAGTAGCGAATCCCTGCCCTATTCCCAGATTCCCAGCCGCCAGTCTCACTGCTGGGTAGCCCACAGCAGATCCACGTATTTCCTACAGAAGGAGATCCAAGGGCCCCAACTATAAGTTAAAGCTGAGTTATCCAATAGCTTCCAGGGAGGAAAAAGGTTTGAACCAGTGAGTAAGAATTAACCGTGGCCGTTCTTTTCCCTGGTTGATCCCATTTCTTCCTCTGCATACTGCCAGAGTAGTTTATTTTTAATTAATGACACACTTACAGTACAGTGACCAAGATATTTTTATATGACACAAAAGTGTCTCATGTAAGACAGCATTTAGTATAGTCTGCAAAGATAATCTCCCCTCTGTAATAATTATTAAAATAGGCATCTTAAACCTAGAATCCTTGTGAAACTCGTCATGTAATTAAGCAGAGAGCTGATTCTTAGCACAAAGATTTTAGAAAATAAAAGGCTAAGGTTACTATCCACTCTCAATATATTAACCAACCAATTATTTGGACTAACCATCCAAATAAATGATGTTACTAACAGTAGTGCACCTCCAGACTCAAGGAAATTCAGATGACCCAATTTCATTTTTTAAATCTGGGGCCTTAGGCAGAAAAAAACAAACAACCCCCCCCTGTAATCCTTAGATTTTTCTTCAGGGACTCTGGACTTTCCCTTTTAATGTGCAAAGTGAATGACACTGCACAATTTTCTTTAACATACATCATTTCACAAGGAAGTAAAATCTCTTTAATATACAACATTTCATAAGGAAATAAAATCTCTTTCTGAGAGACTAACAACGTAGTTTTCACTCAGCACTAAACCTCTGGAGATACTTGATAATAACCAAATACACTGATCCTGAGATTTCAACTAATGCTTCCAAACCGTCTCAGGGTTTTTTGGGATTCAGGACACTGCTAAAAAGTAATATCCACTTCATATAAAACAAGAACATTACAGCCTAGTCCACTTCTCTGTCACCACTGGAAAGTGTCCAATAGCATATACCAGCAGTAGGAAATTAAAAAATGAAAACCAATGAAGAACATCATATTCTAGCTGCGAACTCTTAAAGTTACATTAGTTGCAGCACTGAAGACAAAAGAAAAAGCACGTATGCATCAAAAGAGCATTTTTCCTGTAGGTTTTATTAGCAATTACATGCAGGAGAGATGTTGCCTCTTTACTTTGCATTTACACAGTAATCACAGAATCACAGAATCACAGAATCGTTTAGGTTGGAAGGGACCTCTGGAGATCATCTAGTCCAACCTCCCTGTTCAAGCAGGGTCACCTAGAGCATATTGCCCAGGATCACATCCAGAATACCCTAAGCCTAACTATGGTTCCCAGGAGGTAGATTAGTCCCAATGTCTACCATTCTACAAATAACACTAACATGTGACAAAAGCAAAAATCCTTTTCTTCTGGAAAACGTTCTTACAGACTGCCCGGGTGCACAAATGACCTACACACCTGATGAAGTGTGAGTGACTGGTGACAAAGCACAAACAATGGGAATCACCAGATGGCTGAGGTTGGGAGGCACCTCTGGAGATCATCCAGTCCAACCCACTTGCTCAAGCAGGATCACCTAGAGCAGGTTGCCCAGGACCATGTACAGATGGTTTTCGAATATCTCCCAGGATGGAGACTCCACAACCTCTCTAGGCAACCTTGTCCAGTGCTCAGTCAGGCTCACAGTAAAAAAGTATTTTCTTAAGTTCAGATGGACCTTCTTGTGCTTGAGCTTGTGCCCAAACTGAAGGCATGCTTGTCTGTGAAATAAAAGATTTCCAAATTCCTTTAATATTGCCACCAAGAAATCTGTTATAATGTCTGCTCAGGTCCTGACCAGCTGAACAACAGTTCACAGCAAGCACATCGATGGATCTATGAACAAAGGCAATTTTCTCTCTAAACCTGCAGCTCTTCGGAGTTTTGAGATTCTACCTACTTTGCGCGCAGGGAACTGGTTGCTGTCATGGAAACTAGCTCAGAAAGGAACAAACAGTATGTCTTCTCTCGCTGAATTTGATTCACTGTTGTCCATTCAGTTTCTGCAGGTGCTGGGAGCGTAAGATTTCAGCCAACAGCATGGAGTCATGATCATTACGATGGTTAAAACTCAGTTTGCATGGGTTAGAAGAGGCTAGAAGGAGGTATTAGGCAGGAACGATACTGCTCTGCATAGGGAACATGGTGTTCTCGCCACACTGTCCACAAAACAGTATCGTAGCACTGTTACTACTGGTGGACTTGCAGCATTATGAGTCCTTGAAAACATAGGTTTGGGGCTTTTAAGATCGCTATCAACTACCTTAGCATGTTCACCAAGCAACCTCAGCTCCACTAGCCTGAAACACCAAATCCTCTCTTCTTCTTGGAAGACAAGTAGACTCAGTTCTTCTTAATATTCAGAGTAAGTGCCAAGGTACCAAAGGGAGAAAGTCAGCTATCACTTTGTATCAACTGTATGAGTTAAAATGCTGACCTGGCAACTAGGAAAAAACAGAATATGGGACCACGGCAAGCTTGTTTCCTGAAAATACAATGTTTTCCTGGGCCTCATCTATATTGCTTTTATGAGAAGAGAAAATTAATAGCACTGTTCTCCTGAGGTAAGACAGTGGTTTTAGAGATAGGCTTTGTATTTGTAATAGTAATATTTTCTGCCGGGGAACTTTAGGATAGTACAAACGATAGATATTATATATCTCAAAGCACCAACAAAATAAGAGATGCTTGCCTCTGTGTACTAGGGAAACTGGTGTAAACACAAGGATTAGGAAATTTTTAAAAACTTCCTCAGTTCTGCAGGAATAACAATTTGTGGGTAATCCAATCATCTCATGCTTTTATGTCTTGGAGAGCAACCAACAATTCCAAATCTATGCTTCTGTCCTGTATATATTTTATAGCAGATTACAATGACTCTTATAAAGCTTTTCAGCTTCTTAACTTCCAAGTAAGTCACAATGTCTCTGCTGATTCTTCCGGTGGAGAAGGAATTTGGAAAAGAGAGCAGTTCTCTGTATAGATACTAAAATGAAGGACCCACTCATGAAAGAAATAAGAGCATTTTCTCCTTATTTCAAATTCCTTTAATACTGACCTGTATTTTAAGACCATATTCTGAAAAGGCAGTTCCATAAGTCTGGAATAATAAAAGACTATGTCACTGCTACTATTGAATTCACTGCTACTATTGAACTGAAACACTTCCCTTATTACCTGTAAGAGAATGTGCACAAATTCTCTGCATAAAATGAAGGTTCACACTTAAAGGATATTA